GGGGGTGGGGCTGGTGCCTGGGGTGGGACTCAGGACTGTGGGGGTGGGGCTGGTGCCTGGGGTGGGACCCAGGACTGTGGGGGTGGGGCTGGTGCCTGGGGTGGGACTCAGGACTGTGGGGGCGAGGTGCTTCGTGGCGCCCAGTATGTGTTGCAGTCCTTGCGTGTAGGGGGCCAGGACTGTGTTGTAGAGTGGAGAGGACCTGAGTTTGAGCTGGGGAGGAGGGTGACACCAAGCTGGGCTGGGGACTTGGCTGCAGCCCACTGGAGCTCTCCCTGTCCTGGGAGCCACCTGGGCCCCTGCCCTGCAGAGACAGGGTCTGAATCCTGGTCTGCCGACTCGGGCCAGCCCTTCTGCTATGAGCACGGATCAGAAGCCAGTCTCAGCCCGCCCTGGCCTCTCTTGCCTCCTGGTTTCTGACCAAGGCTTCAGAGTCCTCCTGCCCTGGAGGAAGCCCCCGAGGCCATCCTAAGGCTGGAGCTTGGGGCTGGCTCAGTGGTCCAAGGGACACTGGATGCTGGGAGAGCTAAGCGAGTGGACACCAGGGTCCTGCTCTCCCGCATCTTGGGGCGCCTCCTCCCTGCCCTCCCCTTGTCCTCTCTGCCCCAGAGAGAGCTAGCAGAAGTGGTGTTGGAGCCTTAGACATCAGCATCCTTGTCCGAGAAGATCGCCCAAGCCCAGCCTGCCTCCCTGCCCAGACTTGCAAGGATCTGAAGAGGGTGCCAAGGATCCGTGCAGCCCTGCAGGGCATCCGGGGCCTCTGGGAGCTGCTCTGTGTGGGAGCTGCTCTTGACCAAGCCAAGCCCTGGCGGCTGCCGTGGCAGCTCCCTGCGGCTCCCATCCTCAGCCCAGGCGCTGCACGGCTACCCCCAGGAGCAGACACCGTCCCAGACCAGCTGTGCTCCCCAGGGCCGCTTGTGTGGGTTTGCTCTCTGGTTCTTGGTCCACAACTGCATATGTCTCGAGCACTCAGCCTGCTCCCCAGGCCTGTCAGCCATGGTTCAGGAGGGCTCCATGCTCCAGGCCATGATGGGACAACAGCTATCAAGTCCACAGCCAGCTGCCCGGTGGCCGTCAGCCAGTGTCACATACTTGAGGACTGGTGGCCACAACCTTGCAGGCCTGCTCCAAAGCAGACCCCACAGGAGACCCAGCTTGATGAGGCTTCTGGGGTGTGACGGACAGACTCTAAAATGGCCCCATGATCCTGCCTCCTGGACTCCCGCCCTTGGGGGATCCCCTCCCCTTGAGGGTGGGAGAGACCTGTCCTTGCTTATAACCAATGGAATACACGAAGGTGATTATGTGACATAAGATTGTAACAGCGTCTTGCTGGGAGTCTGTCCCTTGCCTGCTGTGATGAAGGAAGCTCCTGAGCTGTGAGCTGTCCTCCAGAGAGGCCCGTGTGGTAGGACACTGGGAGGGGCTTCAAGCCCCAGTTAGCAAGAAACAGAGGCCCTCAGTCACTCAGCCTGCAAGAACTGAATGCTGCCAGTGGCCATGTGAGTTTTGGAAGCGGCTCCCTCCTGATAAATAAATGAAAAGCAATAGGACACACTGGAGTACATGAGGAAGCCATTTGGGTTAAAACTAACTCGGCCTGACCTTGTTTTTCCAAAAGGGCCTGACGTGGCCTGTTGAGCATGCATGGTACATCTGCTTTCAACATTTACTACGTCCCCAAGACAAAAATGATGCCCCTAAAGACAGGGATGTAACTCTCCCCCATATTGGCATTTCTCTAAGGATAAGCAACTCTTCCCAGAAACTAAGGATTAATTACCGACCTGCTGTGCTCACTTTGTGACCACTGACCCGCTGACCACGGACCTGCTGTGCCAGCTAAGTATCTCGTGACAGTAGTAAAAGAAACATTACTGTCATATGTGATGTGTGCTCTTTGTTCCACGACGGTATACAACCATTCTGTACACCCCACTTCTTTGGTGCCCTGCCCTCCTAGTCCTCAGATCTCGCTCATAATAAACTCACTCCAATTTTGATTTATAGATTGAGTATGGATTATTTGCGTTGACGCAGCCCCGCTGACACGGTGCTTGTAGCCTTGTGGGACCCTGAGCAGAGGACCCAGCTATGCTGCGCTTGGACTCCTGATCCACAGAAACTGGGAGATCCTAAATGGGTGTTGTTTTAAGCACCTAATTTGCAGTGGTATTGTTACACAGCATAGATAACTCATACACAAGAGAAGTGAGTCCACACAGGAAGACTGGGGCAGTCGTGCTGCTCAGCAGCTCCCTGTGTGATGTGACAACTGCCTCTCCGGCCTCCAGCACCAAGGCCCCAATATCTCAGGCCTTGACTTCAGGTGCAGGGAAGGACGAAAACCCCACGGAGCCAGGCAGACCCCACCACAGTGTTCCCCGTGTTCCTGCACGGCCATGTCTGTCTGGCATACAGGGAGAGGCAGGGACCCTTGGCTCGGGAGGGTGTGACAGCCTCACTTAACTGCAGGACAAAGACCTCACTGACTTTTCCTTTCCTCACTCATGAGCCACCCGGGGGGCCTTGTGTCAGCTCGCTTTCCAGAGGATTCCACAGCCCCTAACTTGGGTGACTTTCCCAGCCAGCCACAGGGAAAGACATGACTTGCCCATGATGCCCCTGGGGCAGGAGAGAACCCTGGCTCTCCTTCCCAGCCCGCATTCTTGCCCCCCCGTGGCCACCTCCCTTCCAGGCCCTCTCAGGGCAGCACAGTGGCGGGGGGGCAGCCTCAGGAGCAGCAGTGGGGGCTCTCAGCCCAGCTCTTGCTCCTGTACCCCAGCCATGAGAGCAGTCACTCTTCTCCAAGGGAAGAGCATGTCACCAGGAGCCCGCCTGGGCCAGGAGGGAGGTGGCCCAGGCTCCACCTGCCCCTCAGAACGCCGGGAGGGGCATCTGAGGGCAGCTGGGGGGAGATCTGACCACTGAGAGGTTGCAGGAAAACCCTCAACCCTCGTTCCACTATCCCAGGTGGGTTTATTTCCCGTGGGCTGCTCGGAAGGAGGGCCGCTGTGGTGCAGGAAGCTTCTGAGATGGGCCCTATCAGGCTTAGGACCCAGCCAATCCCCCCTGCCAAGGACCTCTCTCTCTGCGCTTCCGGGCTCTGCCCATGGCACCGTGTCCTTGTGCCGCCTTCGAGCTGGGCTGGGAGTGTTGTGTCTGTGTCCCGTGCCACGCTGCGAACTCCTGGGCCCGTGCCTTCTCCCTCTTGGCCTCTCACAGCTGCTGGCTCAGAGGAGGGTCCGGACGGACAGACAGGTAAGTGACAACCACTCAAAGATTCACCTTGGCTGTCTCCTAGAGCAACTGAGCAGAGACTAGGACGGGGCGCACCTGAGAGGAATGCAAGGACAGGGGTGGGTTTCCACCCCAGAACACAAGCCCTCGGCAGCCGTACTGTGGACACCATTTTCCTTTATTGCCCATCCAGGGAACAGCCCAGTAGGTTCCATCTGCAGTCCAGCTGCAGCGTACACAGGAAGGGGCTCAGGGGCCACGCAGGAGCTGTGCCCAGGAGAGAGGCACAGTCAGAGGCCAGCAGGCAAGGGGACACGCACAGACGTCTCATGGCAACTCCCGGACGTCGGGACCTCTACTGGCTCACCCTGCCCACAGCCGCCAGGGGCACAGCCGCCAGGCAGCCATCGGCCACCACCCTTCTGCCCAGCATGCACACATTGTCCACGAAGCATCACAAAGCTTGCCTTGGTGAGACAGTCAAAAGGAGTAAACAAGTGAGCAGGGAATGAGGTTTCCCGGAACACGCCAGACTGTGCCTGGAACACGGAAACTACCTTCGCCAGGAAGCAGCAGCAGCAGGACAGGAGTTATATGGAAACTGCTCACACCGCGGCTGTTAGAACCCCTTGCTCAGAGAAACAGGCCTGTCCTCATGGGCACTGGGGCAGGTCTTTTGAAACGTATTAAATGAAGACCTTTCTCCAGCAGCGCCTCGAGAGCACCAGAGCATGTGTGGACTCTTGTGGGGAGTCAGGAGGCCCCTCCACTTCCAAAGCTCGGGAGGACCTGGGCACTTTTCTGGAGGGCTTTGGAGGATGTGCGACGGTGGCACGTTGTTCTCGTGCATCTCTGTTAGTTCTCAGTTCTGTGAACTGAGGGGGACGCGCTGTCAGGATGGGTGCCCGTGCCCGCCACAGCCTCCAACTTCGCTTGCACACGTCCTCCGCCGAAAAGTCACACCATCCAGTGTGACTCATTTGGTGGCGGGCCCGGGTGTGGATTCGTCGCTGGCTTCTTTGTCCTGCTCCAGCAGGATTAACTCGGTTCTTGCCGACGAGGACACCATCGCTCCGGAGCCTGGCCCGGCGCCCGCAGCCTCTGCCAGTCCGCCGTCCTCCTCCTCGGGGGAGAAGCTTTCTCGGGCATCGAAAAAGGTGACTGCTTCTTCCTGGACTTTCTGCTCTGCCGGACTTGCCTCATCCTTAGAGGTTTTGCTTTTCTTGGTAGGAGACGAGGAGAACCCTAATTTGGGAAATCGAAACCAGCCCGCCTTCTCCTGTTTTTCAGGCGGTTCTGCCTCCGGCCGAGCCTCGGGCTGCGTCTGGATGGGGGCAGATTTCAGAACTTCGCCTTTGGATTCGGCGCTGGTCTCGTCGACGGAAGAAGAAAATCCGATATTTGGAAGCCAAAACCTGAACAGACCAGAAGATCTTTTACTTTCGGGCTTCTCGTTCGGAGCCCTGTCTTCATCTGCGGCTGCCTCTCGGCTATCTTCAGGGGGAAATTCGAGAATTTCCGCGGGCTCCTCGTCGGAACAGCTGTCTGCAAACTGGTGGCCAGAGTGAACTTCAAACGTACACGTTTGTGGTCCAGGCACGCTGACGCTGGAAGAGATGATTTCAAATGGTTCTCCAGTATCGGGCTGGAGGTCTCCAGCAATGGGGTCTGCTCCTGGGGCAACTTGTTGGGGAGCCTCTTGCAGATCCTCCCTCGGCTGAGAGTCTTGAGTTACCGTGTGCACCCCAGCCTGTGTGGGGGGCTCTGGACCCTTCCCCTTTAGCAAGGAAAATCCGTAAGAAGGCGTTTGGATCTCGGACGCAGCGATCTCTGATTCCCGCACAATCTGAGTGGAAATAGCCTCAGGTCCCGAGAGGTCAGCAAACTCTGCTGTCACCCTGCTGTGGATGGTGACCTCTTGGCTCCCAACCCGAGCACCTTGAATGCGCACTCTGACCTTAGAAATGGGGGAAGCTTCCAAGGAGGGGTCAAGGGCCACAGGCTGCTCCCCAGGGACCCCAGCGCCTGTCTTCAGGATGCTCGCACCCCAGACTCCAGGGCTTTCCTGACTCAGGGCGATGTCGAGGCTGCTCTCAGAGCACTGCACCGCTCTCACGGTGGGGACAAAAACATCGGCCTCAGAGCTGCACGTGGGGAAGGAGAATCTCGGGACCTCTAACTTGGGGAACTTGACAGTTAGCACAGAGTCTTCCCAGAGCTGACCCATGGTGACCACGGAAACCTGAGATGGCATGTCAGTACTTGAGGCCTTCAGTTTCAGAGGGCCTTCGGGACAGGAAGGCTGGTCCTCTGTTCTCTCTCCCTCTCCGGCAGGTCCTGCTGGCCCAGGGAGGGGAGTCTTGCCCACTTCTCCCAGAGCAGCTTGGGTTTCTGACAGTCTCCCACCGCTGAGCACCTGAAGGGGGAGAGAGCCTTCAGTGGGACGGCCCGTGGCCTCTGGAGTGGAAAGCTCAGCGGTGGACGAGCCGTCAGGAGGGAGGTGCAGCTTCAAGCCTTTCTCGTCAAGATTTCGCCTTAGAACATCTGCGTAGGACGCACTCTCCGCAGCCGTCGTGTCTGCGTCTGCCTCTGGGGACTGCAAGGACGTCGTAGGCTCCACCTCTGACCCAGAAACGTGGGCCCCCTGACTCTTGACTGTGGCTGGTGCTGGCGTGCTAGCAGCAGGCGCGGGTGTCTGCGCCCCCGGGCCCCCAGCCCCACTTTTCTCCTTGGCGGAGCGCCGGAAGACGGGCAGGCGGAGCGCGGGCATTCTAAACCAGCTCTCCTGCGATCCCGTCTGCACTTCTCCCGCGGCGGCGTCCCCCTCTGGCCTTTCTGCCATGCCATCTGGTGCCCTACAGGATGGCTGGAGGGGGGCTTCTGTTGGGGGGCCCACCATTGCACCAATGCCCCCAACACCCTCACCGCTGGCCCTCACTGTGGCGTGAGGGTCACCCTCTGTGGGGGAATTAGAGAGAGAGGGATCTGGGCCGCCTTGTGGCAGGCCGGCCCCTCCCTTAGAAGCCTTAAAAGGTGTCTGGACCCTTCCCTTCTCTCCGTCCTTCCCAGGAGGCACATCCACGTGCACTTCCATTTCTGGAACATGTACCTCGGGCGGGACACCCGTCGGGCCCACGTCTACGGCTACGCTGAGCTTGGCGTCTTCCAGGCTATGTCCAGGGTCCCCTTTGGGCCCTGCCCCCTTCTTTGGGGACCACCTAAGGGACGGAAGCTTGAACTTCTGCCTTTTTAAAGGACTGCTTTTGCCTTCACGGTCGGCTTCTTCACCTGGGGCTTCAGCTGGGGCTATTGCTGGCGCCTCCATGGTGTCCTGGGGTCCCTCTGGCCCCTTGGACATGGAGACACCTGTGGATGGCAGGTGAGTGCCTGGCATAGGGAACACAGTGGCTTCCTTGGCCGAGGAGTCCAGTCCCCACGCAGGGCTAGGAGGAGACAGGGCAGGGGCGTGCTCCGCAGCACGGGGCTCCACCTCAGCCTCTGCTGCCTTCGGGACTGAAAACCCGAACTTTGGTCGATGAAATATAGGAAAACTCACCTGCCCATAAGATGCAGGAAACAGGGGTTCCACTGGGCCAGGGTGATGGTCAGTTTGGGACAATGGAACTCGCTCACCACGAGGGGGATCTGCACAGCTTTCTGTGCTGGGAAGGTGAGCGTCGACCTGGGACCCAGAGAGGGTTTCCTGAGGCAGCTCCACAGGGATGGCGGCTTGGGGGACTGTCACCTGGTATTTTGTAAGTGTGACGCCCTCGCACAGAGTGAGGGTAGAGGTTTCCATTTGAAGACCAGTGAGATCAAGCTTGGCTAAAGGAAAACCAGGCCAGGCTAGTCTGGGCACCTGCAGGGAAGGCTCCCCACATGACCCGCCCCCACCAACCTCTGAGGGGGTGGCCGAGACACTCCGGGGAAGAGGAACCCCAGATTCTGTATCCAGTGCGACAGCGCCTCCAAGCGTTCTCTCAGGATGAGAGAAGACTTTGGGAAACTTGAAATGGCTTTTCTTGGGTTTACCTTTTTCTCCACCTTTTCCAAGTGACAGGCTCGAATCAACACTGACTTTGGAAACACTATGTTCACCTGCAGGGATGTCAGGACCCAAGTCACCTGAAGAAACAGTCACCTCAGCATCTTCAAAATGTCCCTGAATTACATAAGCCCTACTGGATGGCGGACTAAAAAAGGACATGCTGACTTTAGGCATTCCGAACTTGCTGTCTCTAGCGGCCACCTCCTTGTCTCTCAGGGACACGTTGCCCTCCAGCTTGGCGCCCGACACCTGGGCATCAACCTCCACGCTGTGCAGAGGCACCTCCACACCGGGGGCGCTCCCCTCCCCCTGGAGGCCTTTCAGGTCCACGCTGGGGCCCTTGATGTCCAACTGGGGGGCCTTGATGTCCACCTTGGGCATCTTGACGCTGGGCATCTGCGCCTTTGGGAGGTGGCCCTTGATCCTGGCCCCGTCTGCTTTGCCCTTCAGCTCGGCCACCGCCACCTCTCCCTCGGGAAGGGCCACCTCCAGCTCTCCCCCTGGCAGGTGGATATCAGCAGATGACAGCTGGACGCTGCCCTCAGGGTCTGTGATCTCTCCTCCCACGGAGGGCAGGGTCGCCTTCCCTCCGACCTTGCACACGAGCACGTCTGCGGATGTTCCCAGATCCTTGCCTGAGGACGACACGCCGAAGGACGGCATCTTGAACTTGGGCATTTTGAACTTTCTGTCTCTGGCGGCCACCTCCTCGTCTCCCAGGGACACGGCACCCTCGACCTTGGCATCTGGCAGCTCGGCGTCGACCTGCACACTGGGCAGAGACACCTCCACCCCGGGGGTGCTCACCTCCACTTGGGCGCTCTTCACGTCCATTTTGGGCCCCTTGATGTCCAGCTGGGGGGCCTTGGTGTCCTCCTTGGGCATTTTCATGCTGGGCATCTGCACCTTGGGCAGGTGCCCTTTGAATCCAGCTCCAGTGGTGGATTCCTGGAGCTCTCCCTCAGGCATTTGGCCCTCCGGGAGCTTCACGCCCACCTGGGCTGTCTTGACCTCCAGCTCGGCCGATGGGAGCTCAATGGTGAGGTCTCCGGTCTTGATGTCGGCCTGTACCTTGGGCAGGGACACGTCCGCCGAGGTGTCGACGGGCTGGCCTGGTGCCGACAGGCCGAAGGACGGCATCTTGAACTTGGGCATTTTGAACTTGCTGTCTCTGGCGGCAACCTCCTTATCTCCCAGGGACACGTCGCCCTCGAGCTTGGCACCCGGCACCTGAGTGTCCATCTCCACGCTGGGCAAAGACACCTCCACTTTGGGGGCAGTCACCTCCCGTTTGCTGCCCTTCAGGTCCACTTTGGCACCTTTGATGTCCACCTGGGGGGCCTTGATGTCCACCATGGGCATCTTGATGCTGGGCATCAGCACCTTGGGCAGGTGCCCTTTGAATCCGGCTCCAGTGGCGGGTTCCGGGAGCTCTCCCTCGGGCACTTGGCCCTCCGGGAGCTTCCGGCCCACCTGGGCTGTCTTGACCTCCAGCTCGGCTGATGGGAGCTCAACACTGAGGTCTCCAGTCTTGACGTCGGCTTCGATAGAGGACCGGGACACGTCAGCCTGGACCTTTGGCAGAGACACGTCTGCTGATGCCTCGACGGATTTGCTTGGTGCCGAGAGCCCAAAGGATGGCATCTTGAACTTGGGCATTTTGAACTTGCTGTCCGCGGCCACCTGCTTGTCTCCCAGGGACACGTCGCCCTCTAGTTTGGCGCCCGGCACCTGGGCGTCCACCTCCACGCTGGGCAGAGACACCTCCACACCGGGGGCGCTCACCTTCCCCTGGAGGCCTTTCAGGTCCACACTGGGGCCCTTGATGTCTACCTGGGGGGCCTTGATGTCCCCCTTGGGCTTCTTGATGCTGGGCATCAGCACCTTGGGCAGGTGCCCTTTGAGTCCGGCTCCTGTGGCGGGTTCTGGGAGCTCTCCCTCTGTCACTGGGCCCTCTGGGAGCTTCCCGCCAACCTGGGCTGTCTTGACCTCCAGCTCGGCCGATGGGAGCTCAACGCTGAGGTCTCCGGTCTTGACGTCAGCCTCGATGGAGGGCCGGGACACGTC